TTTGTATTGTTGTAAATTTTAGAAAATGAACGGTGAGGATTCGTTGTGATTTTTTTGATGAGTTGATTCAACGGTTGTGATTCATTCGAATAATTACTATTTCATTTTAAATTCTTCTTTTTCATGTATTTTTTTTTACCTTTATTATTTTTGGGTATATTCATCTATGTAAACTACTAAGAAATTTTTTTTGATGTATCTACAATTATGTGTATTTTATTATATTTTTGTTCCAAGATTTGCCTTACATCTTACTCCATTTCCCTTGTTCGCTTTAACTTGTTCGGTCTGAACTTTACACGTTCCTTGAAAAATAATAATTAATATGATATTTTATCATAATATTCACATTGATTGATATTTAGTCTTAGACTTTAAAAATTAATTATAAAAATAAGTAATTCATTTTAAGGATAGAATTGAACATGAAAAAAATAACATATTTTTCTTTTGATATACTAAAATTTGAAAATGTATTTTTACTACATTAGATAATAAAAGGAGTGAACGGAGGGAGTATAATAGAAACTCAACAACAACAACAATAACAATAATAACACCTCAGAGAAATTCCACAATAGGGGTTTGAGCAGGGTATACAAAGTATACATAAGACCTTATCTTACCTCGTGAAAGTAAATAGACTATTTTCAAAAGACCCATCAATTTGAGTAATGCATTCCGAACAATTTTTAAAAAAATTACTTAACAAATAATTAATAGGAAAAATATAACAAAGCATTCAACAGAAATTCTGTCTAATCAAGTAAACCAAGGATACAAATTAATATGGAAAAATTACATAAATACACATCTTATTTTATTATAATCTCTAAAGTTTTCTACCATTTAAAAAAATTACAATAATCCTCTCTTGGTGCATCCCTATCTTCTCTCGGATACATCCTCATCCTCTCTTGGCTACACCCCTATCCCTTCTCGAATACATCCCTCCCCTCTCAGATACACCCCTCACATTAAGTAACGTGTCATTCACAATCCGTGAGCTATGTATCCGCAGGTATCTGATGTAACTGAGATCCTATAAATATAAGGGATTTTTTATAATTTGAAAAAATAATAGGGATATGATGTAATTAGCTCTTTAATACTACGAGATTTATGTAATTTTTACAATTAATATTAATAATTTCTAGAATAAACATTAAGGAACAAAAGGGTTTAGGTTATCATCTTGACATGCTAGTTCTTGAGCTGGATCATGTTTTCGGCCCACTTAGATAGGCCCAAATAGAAACTTGATGTTCAAATTTTAGAAAGTCTCTAATTACACAAATATTTCTATTATATTTACTACTTCTTTTTATAGTTTGAAATAATTACATTTTATCTCACTATTTAATAATTTTATATCAGATTTCAAGTCAAATACACCTAGATACATGTGTTTTGCAACCAGATACAATAAAATAGAGAGGGAAGCGAGTAAGAACAAGAGGTAGGCAAGCGAGAGTTGTCTATGTATCCCACATACATGCAAATCACATTGGATACATGTATTTGTGATACAAGGAGCGCGATATGAGAGTGGTAAGCGAGATGTAAGGGATGGAAGTGAGCAAAATTTTTTGTCTATGTATTCCAAATACACGCGAATCTACTTAGATACAGTGCATCTAAAACAAATTTTACCAAATTTTAGCCCTCATATATCTCGAGATACATGTATCTGGACGTATCTGAATACATCAAAATCTAGAGGCGTATCCAGAATTTTTTAGATGATGGGTGCACTATTATAAAAAGGTTGATCTATGATATAAATTTGATCGGTTCGACATTTAGGTTTTTACTACTGAAAACCGTTAAAATTTTAAAAAAGTATAGGTCTAAAATTAATCCTTATATATATATATATATAGATAAATATAAAATTCAAATTTCTAACCTCGTGGAGAGAGGTGCACCCAGTCATAATCGCATTATGTGATACTTCAAGTGTGGGTTCACATATCTATATTTCAATAATTAAAAAAATAAAATACACTACTGTATATAATTTCAAGAGGGGACCATGGGTTCACGTGAATACGGTGACCCCCCCTTAGATACGCCTCTGTCAAAATTTGATAAGAATATTCATAATATTGCAAAATAACGTGTATCTAAATAATGAACTCTTAAACTAAGTTGCTTTTTGAAAGGTTGGTGCTTAATTTTTGGTCCTATTAAAAAAAGAACTTGGCCATATATAACGTATAATTTAATAACTTTCCATCAAAAGTACATTTTCTCAAAATTTCTCATAAATAATTCCTCTAGAGAGTGAAAAGTAAACACTACCTAAAATATGTACTTTTGTCTCCCTTAAACCTTAAAAAAAAAAAAACTATGTCCAAACTTGGGACTTGAGAAGAAAAAATGTCATTTTCTTTTAGGAAAAACATTTTTTTCTTTGGTCAATAGTCTTCTATTATAAGTCTATTTTAAAAGTCTTATATTACGGTTTACTAGATATTCTTCTGTCTCCTCTTTTTTTTTTTTTTTTTTTTGCCCCTTTTTGAAATTTTGCTTTCTAATTTAATTTAGTTATCGAAACTTTGATGCATAATTTTATGTACGTTATAATTTCGCCTAATTCACTATAATTCAAGCCTAACGACTTTTACTATAATAAATAAATATATTTATCATAATGCTTGGTTGCTTTGAATTTTGTAGAATTTAATTATTTTGGCTCAAATTTTACATTTATATTGAGAAAAATTAAGAGAAGGTTGATTTTGATATCATAATATATAAAAAAAGACGTATTACCATATTGACCACCGCAATATATGCGTGATGCTAACATTTCATACACACATGAAATAAATGTTTCACCCAATTAAGTTATATATATTATATCAGTAAGAGTTTTTGCTAATAATATTGAAGTGATTTAAGTTTATAATAATAATAAATATCGAATAAAAATAAATATTTACTAATATTTTAATATCTTCTTTTTTATAATATGCAAATAATTTTGAAAAAGAGAGAAAATTTTGTGGAGGACAGCTCTGATAGGCTTATCACATGGAGGATTTGACAGCTACATCTAGTCATGCATTATTTTGAAATAAAGATTCATTATGATCATCTGATTAATTATTGCTTCATCTGTTTTAATTTATTCGTGTTATTTTTTTTTAGCTCGATAAAAAATAATATATTTTTCTTTTTTGATAATTTTAAATTCAATTTTCTCATGACATGCTTAAAATCATAAGATTAATAAAAGACATTTTAATACACTAAATATATTTTTAATTTAAGACCATAAATTAAAATTAAAAAAAATTCATTACTTTCTTAATAAATTTTGTCTTATATTAAAACTAGACATACAATTTGAAACAGATAGAGTATTACATAAAAAGAAAAAACTAGGATATTGTAATTAACAGGAATAAACAATTTTTTATTTTATTTTATTTCAAAAATTAAGCTTCAAAACTTGTCCTTTTGTATTACAATAAACAATTTTTTTTTTTTTTTTAAAGAATTAAGCTTGACAACTTGTCTTTTTGTTCATTAAACTTTAAATTATAAGCTTGGGAAAGAGGTGGAATAATATTTGTGGGCATCTTTTTTTCTTCTTCTTGTGAGTATATATGCTGCCAAAACAAAAGACAAGCCACTGAATGTACCCTCTCTGAATGTTTGTGTTTTCACGAGGGGCGGAGCTACAGTATTAGTTATGGATTCAGATACATATATTAATATATGTATTCATTAAATATCTATGAATATTTAAGTTATGTGTTTTGATGATAAATTCTGAACTAATAAAGTTTAAATTTGAATTTTGCGTTGTTTTTTTTTTTTCTCTCCTAACGATGTACATTAATTATTATGATAATCTTACCCTTCAATTCTTGAAAAATGAAAATTATTGCAATTAAACTTACACAACTTATTGTGGAAAACAAGAAAAACCAATAACAAGACACTTATAATTTGATGATGAAAATATAGAATATATACCACATTAATAACGTTAGTTGCATCGCGCGCGCACACATATAACAAAATTAGGGTTTTTTCAATAAAGATTGGATACATTTTCTTTGAGTCGAGGGTCTACGAGAAACAATTTTTCTATTCACTTAAAGATAAGGATAATATTAGTATTTCTACCCTCTTTAGACTCTACTCATAAAATTACAATATAACGCTATTGTTGTTGTTGTTATTATGACCATGGATACATGATATGTATATATATATATACATAAAAAAAAATGTAAATGAAATAATTAAGTTATATATAAACTGATATTTTTTTTTAACATTATCAATATAGTATCTTATTTCTTTTTCAAATTTCGATCAAATCATGTCTGAACGCCTCCTAACAGCTCAAGTAATGATTCCAAATTAAATTAATGATATCACATTATGATCAATCATCAATCGTCTTTATATAACAGTGTAGTTTGTTTGAATATCTTATATATGCTATAATAAAATGTTATTATAAGAAATATATAACATAATATGACATCGATTTCACAAAACTAAAACTTTCGATCAATACAAATGTACATGACGAGGAATGAAGAAAAATAAAATTTCCAAAAGGGTACAATTATAAGATACCAATAAATTTAACTTTTTCATAAATTCTAAATTGTTTTATCAGTTATAAGTCACAGGTTTCACAGTACTATGTGGTCCATATACTATATAATAAAAACAAATGCATAAAATAACACTAAAAAGTAATCTCAAAGGTAAAAAACTTTGTACATGCAGCAAAAATAATACAATGTGGGTAAAAAGCCATGTCACTTTTTGTCAAAGTCTTTTTTGTAGCCCCCACAATTCACAAGATCTCTAAAAAAAATATGTTTATCTCCTTCCGTATCGATATCTGTATTGAGACTCGATTAAATCTAAAGTTGTACATTACAAGCATGGCGAAGCTAGAGCACAGAAGCCAATATGCAGATTCGGTCGAACTCATTAACTTTTGATCAGATAGTATATTTGTATTAAGAAATTCATTTAACATTTATGATTCTACTTTTAAACTCACATTTAATAACACTTGATCAAGTAGCCATTTTAAAATTTTAGAATTCACAAAACTGAAATTTTGATGGATTTTTTTTATGGAGGCGACGCTCTCAACTACTCTCTTTTGTTGCCTTCAACATCTACGAATCCAATTAAGGAAAAACAAAATCTAATAACCTATTAAAAAATCCTAGAATTATTATTATTATTATTATTATTATCAAACTTGGCCATCTCATGAGTTTGTTGCAAAAATGGCCTCTTTTCATTCCTTCCAACACCAAGAAAATCTCTTGTTAAGTAACCTTGCTTCCCTTTATCTTGTATCATCATCAAAGTATTTGCATTGTTGGCCACAAAAGATGTTGAATTTGTAGCCCCTATTAGCAATCCATTATTTCCTTGAATATTTTCATGAATAGCCACATTTGTAGCACTTGATGATGAAGAATTATTCATCATATTAAGGCTAGATGAGGTCATTAGCCCAAATTGATTGCTAAAGAGTGGTGAATTGTTGTGGTGAATTGTTGATCCAATTTGGGCTGCTTTTTGCAAAAGCGCTGTTGCTGACATGTGGTTATTATTGTAATACATTGGGCTAAGAGTTTTGTTCTCTTCTTCCTCCTTTAGCACACGTGGCATCGATGACGAGGTGGTGGTGATGGCACCACCACCATCGTCATTGACGAACCATTGATTATTATTATTGTTGTTGTTGTTGTTATTGTTCTGTGACGAAGACAAGCCTAACATGCTTGTATGTGGTGCCATTTGTACCAATTCATGAGCCAAGGTGCTTGTTGTGGTTGATGGTGTTGATAAAAAGTCATTAGGGTTACCTGCAGAGCAGAGACAGATTCAAAATTTGAAATAAGGATAAAGGAATTTCACATATACATATATATCAAGTTAAGTGGAACTCACTTGTAACTTATAGAGACGAAATCATAATTTTAATTTTAAATATGATTACAACATTTAGTTTATGTTGTTTAGACTCTATAAAATATGATGTTGCACCATGTGTTGGATCCTTCAAAATACACTATTTTTTGAGGATCTGACATCTATCAATAGTGCTAATTCATTGTATTTTTCAAAATTACGGGTCAAAATCAAATATTTATTGATATTTTAGTGACTTTCACATATATATACATACTGAATTCAGATGAACCTGTGTGCTTACCATAATTTGCATTGTTATGATGAAGCCAAAGTGGTAGCCTTGTTTTTTGTCCATGATCAAGATTAAGTTGATTTGAAGGGTCTAATGATCCCAATCCCATTAATTGAGAAATATTTCCACTCATTTGTTGTTGTTGTTGTTGGAGATTAGTACTAATCCCACCATTAATCAATTGATTTCTCAAGTTATTAAGATTTGTTGCTGTTGGGATTGATGTAAATCTTGTACTTTCTTCAGCTAATGCATCACAAAATGCTCTGTGTGTTATAAAGCTATCCTTTCTGTTATAGAAATTAGCGATGGATAAATTAAATAGAAGAAAACAATATTCTTCAAAAATCACAACTAAAAAAATAGAAACTAACGACAGACAATTTACATAGATAACAACAGAAATCCATCGCTAGTCCTATTTAGCAATATATTACATACACAATGACATATTATCAAAAACTCAGCTTCTAACAATTTTGCAATAAATTAGCGATAAATTATCAAAAACATAGCTACGAGCAATTTACCATAGATTAACGACAAATTATCAAAAACTTAGCTACAAACAACTTAGCGATAAATTAGCTACAACATATTATCAAAACCTTAGCTATATGAGAAATTTTGGAACAAATTAGCAACGTATTACTAAAAACTTAGCAACAAGCAATTTTATAATAGATTAACGATGGATTATAAAAAAAATTAACTACGAGTAATTTTGCGATAGAAGCTTACAACTTGTTGTAGTGAATCTTGATTGAGTTAGAATTAAATTTCACATATATCTAGACCATTTATTTCATCAACAAACTAATCATATTATAGGACTAGTACTTTATTACCAATATTCTCTATTAAATTAAATTCTCTAAAATAATAAATCTAAGTCATGAAAAGTACCTAGAAAAGAGTGTACCATAGTCACATTTAAACTTAGTTACCAGTAAATCTGAAATGTATTACGTAAATTGAGACAGAGATTACGTACCTGGAAAAAAGTGTGCCACAATCACATTTGTACTCTTTAGTACCACAAATCTTACTATGAGCTTTCCAATCAGATTGAACTGCATATTTTTTTGAACATTTTTCACATTTCCATTTTTTTTCACCATGTTTTCTTGAATAATGTTTTTTAACCCCAGTTAAATCACCTAATGCTCTTGATGGATCATGATGTACACATGATTTTTCTGGACAAATATAAACTTTTTTCTTTATAACTTCTTTGTTATTTCTTTGTTTCAATTTCCATGGTAAATTGTGACCTCTTCTATGGAGTTGTAAATTTTGATCTCTTTGGAAACCCTTGTTGCATATTTCACACACGAATCGATTCGTCGCCATTAGAGATGTTGGTGAAAGAGCTATCACTTCTGCATCTGGATCTATTTTTTAGCAACAAAAAAAGTTAGTTATGTTAGAGCAAGAAGGGTTAAAATGAGAAGAAAAAATTTGATTTAGAGTGTTGGGAGTGAGTTCAATTAACGTCGTATATCATTTTCAACTAAAAAAATATACATATATGAAAAAAAATCCTTAAAAGTATATAGTCATATAAATATTAAGTTCTAAACTCATATTTTTTCGAAGAATACATAAGCTTGGAATCGTTAAATATATAAATTCTGAATCCATCTTTGATTTTAATAACAAACAAAATATATATAAGCTTCATAATTCAAATTCTGGATCTGCCTCTGACGACTTATACCTGGATTTCCGGGGAGATTTCTCTTCCTCTTATTAGCACAAGAAACATTTGGATTTGAATTAGGGTTTGGATTTGGATGATTAATATTAGTACTAGGGTTTTTTGGATCTTGAATGAAAGTGAAACCACCTCTCATGGAACAAGAAAGTCCATCATTAGACATCATTTTCTTCTTGAACCTCAAAATTTGAAGTAAAATGAACACACACACCAAAAGAAAAGAAGTTCGGTTTAGTTCAGTTCAGTTCAGCTCAACTCGATTTCAAGAGAAGCCACAAGATTTGCTCAAAACAGCTAAATCCCAAGAAATACTCATTGTATAGTGTACAATGTTTTTAAAACAAAAACAAACAATAGAGTTGTTATAACAACTTCACTTCTTCTTGATTTTCCTCTTCTTTGAGTTTATGTTTGATTTTAGTATATAGTAGAAGTAGAAGCAAAAACTTATTATAACTTAATAAAAGAAAGAATATTTCCCTCTATTATATTATTCCTTCTCTCACACACGGCTTTTGTCTCTAAAAGTCGGTCAGCCATAGACTCAAGTGGACCACTTCAACCTATTACGAGGGCTGTCGTGGAGTGACAAGTACTCTTTCAGTTTTAATCAGAGATTTCGAATTCATATTCTTATTCGATACGATTCACTTTCGTTATAGAGTTTTATTCTAATGTGGAACTTTAAGACATAAACCCGAGTCCAATTGAGTCTTATGCTGATATCAGACACTAGATGAGAAACTAAAAAGAGGAAATATTTATAAAATTTAAAGTTTATGGATTCTGACAGTAACCTCAAGTTAATAATATACATAATAGTCAAGTTCATAATAAATTAAATATTTATAAATATTTAATATCTATTTTGATACATAAGATTAAAACAAAAGTTACTGAATTTTTCGTAAATCGTTATGTTAGTAATCTAAATTCCCTATGCAAGTAAATATTGTATAATTTACAGTGGGGTGAGTGAGGAGAATAACTGTATCAATTTGTCAATATATATACTGCTGCTACAGCTTTGCATGATGTGTTGCTTTCAAAATATTAAAAAAAAGTTGAGAGAATATTTTATTTTGAATACGAAGGTTCTGCTTTTGAATTATATATACTACGATATCACTCGTCTCAGTTTATATGATATATTTTTTATTTTGTCGGTCTCGATAAATATATGTTAATTTAACTTTATAGTTCGGTTGGTGATCAAGTTGTGAAAGAATTATAGAGAAAATCTTCTTTGTATTTCACTGTGTGTCCAATATTCTGTACAACGTGATATATATAACAAAATAATCGTAACTGCCTATACACTTGCTCCTATTCTATTGGTTCCTGTGTAACAGAATTATTCTACAAAATATAAATGAAAAATAAAAATGTATATCCAAGGAAAGATCTGGAATGTAGGTTTTGCAGATGTTCTTTGTTGATATGTATAACATGGGCCTCCGAGACGTAAAAGCCCAAGGCACAGAAGATTGTAGGCCCAATCTGCTCATAGACCCAAATTAGAATAACAAAAGCAAGTCAAACAGTAGTGGTCCTTATGCATTTGTACCGACAACCTCACATTTACCTTCATCTTCTTTATCTCTAAATAAAACTGAATCACCGAAAATAATGTCGTTAGAAAAATGCTTCTCACCAACACCCCCCCTCAAGTTGGAGGGGGCGGCACGAACACCCAACTTGCCCAAAAGACTTCAGTGAGAAGGACCAGATAAAGGTTTAGTAAAGAGATCCGCAAGCTGGGAAGAAGAAGAGACAAAGGAAAGAGAAATTAAACCGGCCAGATATTGTTGACGCACAAAATGGCAATCAAGGTCCACATGTTTGGTACGCTCATGAAAGATCGGATTTTTAGCTATATGAATTGCTGCCTGGCTGTCGGAGTGAAGGGAAACAGGCAAAGAAGGAGGAACTGATAAATCCTCAAGCAATCGAACCAACCAAGTGAGTTCCGCAACTACCCATGTCATAGAACGGTACTCTGCTTCTGCAGAAGAAAGGGACACAAAAGGTTGTTTCTTTGATTTCCAGGAGATAGGACTGCCACCTAAACTGATAAAGAAACCACTGACTGAACGACGAGTCTCAGGGCAAGACGCCCAATCTGCGTCACAAAAAGCAAGCAGCTGAACGGAGGGATTGGAGGACATAAAGAGGCCCAAACCTAGAGTACCAAGTAAGTAGCGTAAGACATGAATTGCTGCAGAGTAGTGTGAAGTACGAGGAAGCTGCATATATTGGCTTAGGTGTTGAATTGAGAAAGCAAGGTCGGGACGAGTGTGACTCATGTAGTTCAACTGACCAATCAACCTCCGATATGAAGTTGGATCTGATAAAAGCTCACCATCATCTGCTTTCAATTTCAGGGACGGATCCAAAGGTGAACTTACAGGTGTGAGTTCGAGGCAATTATACTCAGAAAGGACCTCAAGAATGAATTTTCGCTGATTGAGGATCAAACCAGTAGATTCACGTAGCACCTCCATCCCCAAAAAATAATGTAAGCTTCCCAAATCTTTAATTTGAAATTCAGAGTGCAAAAAGGATTTCAAAGCTTGTAATTCTTCAATGTCATCCCCAGTCAGCACAATATCATCCACATAGACTATTAACAAGGAAATAAGAGCACCATTGCGTTTATAAAAGAGAGAGTAATCATTTAACGAATGAGCATAACCTTTGAACTCAAGTGCAACGGTTAGCCTTGCATACCATTGGCGGGAAGCCTGTTTCAAACCATAAAGAGATTTTCTCAAATGACAAACATGATGAGGAGAAGGAGAGTCTATGCCGGGAGGGAATTTCATATACACATCTTCCTCCAAATCCCCATGTAGAAATGCGTTGTTTACATCTAATTAGAACAAATTACATCCCTTCTTAACTGCGATGGCAAGAACACATCTGATAGTGGTGATCTTAACGACTGGACTGAATGTTTCTGTAAAATCAACTCCATCCTGCTGCATATCCCCCCTAATAACAAGGCGAGCTTTCAACCGCTCAACTGATCCATCAGATCGTAATTTCACCTTATAAACCCACTTACAAGGTAAGGCTTTACGACCTGGAGGAAGACGGACAACATTCCAAGTATTATTAGCTAACAAATCATCTAATTCTTTTGCCATAGCATCCTGCCAACCGGGGTGTAAAACTGCCTGGGAATAGCTGTTGGGCTCATGAATGTGAGACAGAGAACTAAGAAAATGTTGGTTAGGGGAAGAGAGGGCATTGAAAGAGAAAGAAGGGGCTTGAACAGAAGATAAAAAACAAAAATTAGAAACATCTGCTAGATGTACAGTGCTGCAAACATAATCTTCCAAATAGGCAGGAGTTTTGAGAGATCTAGTAGACCTCCTTAGGATAACAGGATCAAGAGATGGAGATAGAGAAGTGTCGACAGGAGATGGACCAAGATCAGAAGATAGCGAAGAAGTAGATGGAAGAGTAATTGGATTCGAAAAAGCTGGAAAATATGAACTAGAAGGTAACGAGTGATCAGGGGAATTGGGATTAGAGACACTGGAAACTTCAAAGTTCATAGGAGAAGGAGAAGTAATGGGAAAAATAGGAACTGAACTATTGATAGCTATGAAGGGAAAAATGTTTTCATGGAAGATAACATTCCGACTAACAAAAAATTTCTGATTCTTGAAATCAAACAACTTATATCCTTTCTTTCCATGAGGATATCCAAGAAAAACACAAGGGATAGCTCTAGGATCTAACTTAGTTCTTCCTTGAGGCAAAGTGGAGGCAAAACACAAACATCCAAACACCCTTAAGTGATGGTAGGAAGGAGGTTTTCCAAACAAAATATCACATGGGGTTTTAAATTTTAAAAGCTTGGTGGGACATCTATTGATTAAATAGGCAGCTGTTAGAATAGAATCACCCCAAAATTTTGATGGTAAATGAGACTGAAACAACAAAGATCTAGCCACCTCTAGCAAATGTCTATGTTTTCTTTCAACGACACCATTTTGTTGTGGTGTAGCTACACAAGAAGTTTGATTGATAATCCCTTTGGATAAAAAGAATGAAGAACCCTCTTGAGTGGAACCAAGTTCCATAGCATTGTCAGATCTAATGATTTTAACCTTCTTGTCAAATTGTCTTTCTACCATAGCTAGAAAATTTTGTAAAGTTGGAAAGGCATTGCTCTTGGTAGATAATAGGAAAACCCAAGTTCCCCTACTATAATCATCAACAATGGTAAGGAAATATCTATATCCATTATAAGTAGGAGTGTGGAATGATCCCCAAGTATCAATGTGTATAAGATCAAAAATTTGCTTGCTAGAAATATCACTGTTCGGAAATGGAAGCTTGGTTTGTTTAGCTAAAGGACAGATATCACAAGGCTCAACAAACTTAGATAAAACAGGAAAAAGAATTCCATTGATATTCTTCATATTGGACAAAGGTATGTGGCCTAGCCTATCATGCCACAACCTATTGACTACATCAGACTGAGAAACACTAGATAAAGCAGCAGAAGTGTTGTGTTTTGATTGAAAAACTGAATTGGAAATCCTATTACAAGATCTACTAAGACTGGAAATTGGAGGTTGATCATGTTGCATCACATATAGTCCATTTCTGGATTCACCAAGCACCATTGGGCTCTTCATTGAAGGGCCCTGCATGAAACAGTGAGAAGAAGAAAAGATTAATAGATGTTGGAACTGCTCAAATAACTTATGAACAGAGAGTAGATTAAAGTGAAAACTTGGAACAAACAGGACATTAGAAATGACAAAGTTAGAAAAAAGTCTCACTGATCCTACATGTGTTACTTTAACAGTTTGAGAATTGGGAAGTTTGACAAATGTTGCTTTAGGCAACAGATTAAAAGAGATGAAATATCCTTTGTTGAAAGTCATATGTTGACTTGCTCCTGAATCAATAATCCATGAATTTGGGCTAACAAGGTTGTGATTTGTTTTAGAATAGAAAGAAAAAGGAAGTAGGTTTATACCAGCACAGTTGGCATTAGCTATGACCTCAGAATTGGTGCTTTGTTTCCCAACTTTTTCTTGTTGAAGCAATGACATGATCTGCTTCAGTTGGTCCTGTGATAAAAGATTTCCCGACTCTGGTGGATCCACATTATAATAGAACTGGTTTCCTGCTGCCTCACCTGTCATAGCTACATTACCGTGAACAGAATTAGGGGAATTTTTGTTCTTAGTAAACTTAAAATTAGGAGGAAACCCATGAATTTTGTAACATTGCTCAATGGTGTGCCCTATTTTCTTACAATATCTGCATGTTGGAGCAGACTTCTTATTCTCATAATAGTTTCCTCTTGTAGGTTTGTACTCGGGTGCTCCAAGTCTCTGTCCAGAGGTATTTTGTCCAAATGCCACAAAGGAAGAATTCTCCCCAGGGAATTTGGGGTTCATATTCATCTCCCTTTGCTTTTCCTCTTGAATCAACAAAG